GCAGTACAGAGAGCAGCGACGATGACTTCGACGGTGCAGGGAATCGATCCATGTTCGAGGACAGGCGTGCGGTACAATGCAGATCATCGTGTGGTCAAAATCAATGCAAAAGAATCGGTTTCATTCGGTTGAAAATCCATCTGTGTATATTGAAGATTGTATGGATTTTATAGGTAATTATTGTAATTAATTCATAATTTCGTGAAATTCGGGGAATAAATCAACGCGAACGTTGAAGTAGGTGCCTTCGCATCATCCGAGGAAGGTCTTGGGGGCCTTGAAAGTGATGGAACGTGTTAGTTCATGAGCGCCACTTCGCAGAGCAAGTTCAGGTGCGCAACAGCAGTAGTGGGAGCGGCAGGACACGCGGGAGTGCTCAAGTGGTGGTGTTGGTGGTGGTTATGATTCAAAAAGTGCGGACGACGGGTTTGCTCTGACAACGATGGCAATGGTCGGTCGCTTGCCCACGGAGAAGGAAGCGTGATTTGGGGAATGCATCGGTCTTCGTGGACGTATCGCGATGAGGGAGGCGGCGGCATCAATCCCGCAACCGTCATGGACGCATGTCGGTGTTGAAGTTGGACCATGGACGGCAACGATCTCACGACCGGAGCGACAGTGGCAGTCGTGGGTTGTTGCGCAACTTTCTTTTGCTTGACGCACCGACGGTGCAGCGTGCCAGCTTGCTTTCTCTTTTCGTAGTACTCCTTCATCTTGGCAAGAGCTTTTTCGCGGTTCTTTTCATACCATTCCTTCTTGTACTCGCGTCGGATTTCCCGACTGGATTCGCTATCGTCCTTCTTGAGCTTGAACGTCTTCTTCGCAGTCGATGGCGTCGACGAGCTTCGCAGCATCTGGTTAAACGTAGGGTACTTTTCGTCGGCGCTGGACGAGTCGTCCATGGACGGGATGGACGTGGCGGGGCTTGCAACCATGTCGCGGTGGCGGAATGTGCTTGGGAGCGGCGACGACACCATGGACGCTGGTGGCAGGGGTGTCGATGATGTGTGCATAAGAGATCAAGATGGAAAATGCGTGACTTCCGTCGACCGATCTTGCTCTGTCGCATTAGTCAACGTATGGACCAGGGGTGTGTTCTTGGCATTTGCTCCCTCAATGACACGAACTCGCGATCGGATTGGCTAAGGAATCCTTGGACCAATCAAAACGCGATTGTACCTCGATTTGTCCGGATACGAAAATCACCATTGTGTTACCGCACCTGTCGCCATCGTGTTGACACTTCGTTACACGACAATGTGTAATGGTGACAAGGAAGATGAGACCAAGCGACGGCGAATGAATGCACCCGCCGCCGGGGACTCGTAAACGCTACAAAACCTCGCACGCCTCGCACACAAACACGAAGCACCCGACACGCGATGTCTTCTGCCGCTTCGATCGGACGCACCCCGCGTGGAATTGCTGCTTGCACTTTTGGCATCGGACCATGAACCCAAACGGCTCGTCTCGGCATGCGAGGCACAAGTTGGTAGCGACAGCCGTCTTGATCGCTGGTTGTTCAAGGGGTCGTGCTGCTACTTCAGCTGATTCTTCTTCGTCAACGACGGAAATCGGTATAGCGTGTGTTGACAATGGCACTACGTGTGTGCACTGAGGCGATGGTAGGAGTGGAGAAACTGGGTTTGACGTCTTGGTGCCTGACGAATCGTCCAGAACGAGAAGGTGGCTTTGACGACTTTCCAACACTGCTGCTTGGCCTTCCATTTCTTGGATTTTGACCTCCATTTGTTGAAGTCGGGCTGTTTGGTCAGCGAGTGCATTTTCCGCGTTGAGCAATTTGGTGCGGAAAGCTTCCTCGTCGGATAGTCTGTCTTCCTCCGCTTTTGTCATCGCCATTGACAGCTCCTCAATTTGGCGCTGCAATGATTGTCTCTCTTCCTCATGTTGGCATGTGAGCGTTGCAATGGACAACTGCAATGCGTCAATGGTTTGTGTCCCGCATATACTTGATTCTTGGTACTTTGCCACCAAGTTTTGTTGGGCTTGCAATTTTCCCTCCTGCAAGTGTCCCAGTGCCATAATTGAAGTTAATGTTAAGTAGATATGATCGATTACCATGAAACGAATTCGCATCCGCAATGCGTCGTTCTCGTCATGTGATTTTTGAAGTCGTGATTCGCACGTTTGATGCTTATTGGTAAGTTCGATCGTTTGGCTTTGTAAAGCTCCAACTTGGTCACATAGCGATTGAATCAAGGCTCGTTGTGACGATGTGGATGCATTGTCAGGCTGAGCTTTGCTGCTGGACATTTGAAGCATCATAGCTTCGCAATTACCTTGACTCTATGCTAAGTCAGAGGATTCAGATCTGGCGTCGATGGGAATCGCACCTCCTCTATCGATCGAACTTCTCTTGCCACTTTCATCTGAGGTCAGAAATGTTGTTGCCAACGATATGGACGCTGTTACATTCATTGATCGCTTTGGAGACGTCGGCCGCGTACGAATCCAAATATTTCGACGCCATGCGAATTTGCTCCTACAAGTTACTTTTTACATTCATGCAGAAATGTACATTCAAACCATTTGATCAACTGAGAATTTTCGTTGGCTTGCCTCATCGGTGTCAGGTGCTTGGTATTTGACGAATTCTTGTACTTTAAATTTGAACGTGTTTTCCTGAACTGTCATATTGAACATGAGCTGGACAATACTTCTACCTTATCGGAAAGCACGCTCGAGATAAATTGCTCGCGTTCGCGTAAGGTTTCCTGCAATACAGCCTTCTCCTGTTGGGCAGCATCCTGCTGCTATTCAGAGAGGAGCCAAGAAAGTACACGTCATACTATTCGCATCCGAGATATGTTGAGTTGAGCATCATTCTCACGAGCCACGGTCGCTGACGTTGCAATACTTCTCCTTAAGTCTTCGGCCTCTTCAGCCCATTTACGCTTTTGTCGCTCAAATTGTTGTTGCTGCATCGTCATCTGAAGCTTGCGCTGTTGCCCTTCTTCCACTTCCAACTTGAGCATTGAATGCCTACACACCAACGGATCACGAGATGTTGCTGTCGACGAGATCGTTTGCATTTATTACATGTCATTCACCACCGCTTGGACCTCGGCATGCTTCTTGTGCAGCCTCGCGAGAGCATCGTTGAGCGTCCCCCCCATTGTGGATATGATCTTTCGCGCGCAATTTGAAAATGGCACAACATCACGTTCAATCCGCGTTTTTTTTCACCAGCATCCAATCACATCGATGGAGAGCCGTTTAAACAATGTACTCCGGAGTATCGGCTACGGAGCACGTTAAGTGGACCTCATGGAAGTCTGTGCGGTCGTCCACCCCCGCCCGCCCACGGCAAATGCCTTCGCTAGCGTAGTGAATTCAGGCGAAGACATGACATGCCTTGGTGAAGTCACAGGCGTTGTGAGGTTTGTCCAGCTAAGATATTGTACAGTACATAGGCTCTCGCATCGACGAAATCTGAAATTTACAGTCGCTACATGACCTCTCCACACAACCTCTGAAGAATATGGCTTGCTCGTAGGAATTCCCTGCGCATGGTACCATTTCAGGGTGCTTGCAACCATCAGGAGCGAATGTCCTTGTGTGTGTTTGACAAACGAATTGAAGGCTGTACCTACAAGGAAGCGATGTATTCAGCTACGATCGATTACAACGTTCTGCGTTCATGACTACAGGTCAAGCGCGTGGTTCGACTCCTCGGCGGATCAACACACATTGCAAGATTTACCCAAAGGTGCGGCGAGTGTATGAGTTCACGATGGCACGAACGTAACCAGTGAAGCCAGCTGAATTGGACATTTACCTGGTCGAGCAAGCAGCTTGATCGACAGAGCTCCCTTCTCCACGCCACAGCGCCAGAAATGTCGGCAAACAAAATGAATACTAGTATGGTATTATATGAAATTTAAATGAAAGGCCCGCTGAGATTAGATGTTCAAGCGACACTGCTCGAATAACAGGATGTTATCCGGATGGAATGATCCAGATGGGGATGTTGGTTTTTTGGAGCAACGAACCAATATCCATGACGACTCCACCATCCAAAGCGGCGCGGCCACGCATCAAATGGGACGAGGAAACTATAGCTCTGCATGACCTTGACCGAGGAACACGCATGAAGATCGAGGAACCCAACACTCCTTATCACTACTACGCGACGGGGGAGGAAGACATGAACGTAACCACGGGGAATGATGTCGAGATCACTGACGTGGCACTGCAACTCCACAATGCGACCCACTCGGCGAGTGAATTGTCAGAGTTGCCCTCAAAAGCTCCCGTATCACCAGCTCACAGTGCTTCCAATGGTATTGAGCTCAAGTGGGACGAATTGCACGCGCGGTTAGAGGCGCACCAATCGGCGTCAAAGTCGAGCGAATGGGACAGCGACTCGGACACGTCGTCGACGAGCCGAAAGCATCCAGCACCTCCTGGAGGCGCTGACAACGCTTTCGCACAGAAGAGAAAGCAGCATTACAATGAGTTTGAGCGCATGAAGCAGTGGCGTCTGCAGCACGGCGCAGACGATGACGACGATGCATAGCTGACGAAATGTCAGTTAACATATCTGCTGTTAAAAATGACTGCCAAACTTTGTTCGACCCGACATTGAGCACTTTGGCGCGCTCTTACGGTTTGACAGGACCTGGGTGCCGACGGCCGCTTTCTGCTTGTACGCATTTGGAGCCGGCCCGACGTCATGACACATTCGGGCGCCGATCGGCGCCTTGCTGCGACCGACAACGCTAAACGAGTACGCCGCTACAAATCAAGTCGTCAAGACTCTGCAAGCGAACACATATCGCACAAACTGACAGACTAATGCCATACCTGAGTTTGTGACCGTCGACACAACCTGCTTTCCCACAGCCACATTGCCCGTGCTGTATTGCCCTGACGCGATGAACGTAAGTGACGCGTGTAGTTTCATGGAATCGTGATGTACCTGGTCCGACGTCGGCTGTCGACGTTTCCATGAGCGGCTTGCGGTTTACCTTCGAAAAGCTCGTGGCGGTTGCGCTCTTCGACGTGGACAGCACCTAGGCAGACCAGCACACAATCATGATTACAATGACGTGGAAAGCTGACAGCACATCAAGCGGCGTTGCCTCGTACAGTTTTTGTGTTCAAGAGGCATTCGGGAGTCTCATACGCCCCCGGTCCAGGCGACCGATTCGTGCCTTCCGCGCTCTTGGACCACTTCTTCCCGAGCGAAAACTGCGGCGCGGTTTTCTCGTTGGGGTTGACAATGTGGGGAGTGTAGTCGCCTATACACACCAAAGCTCTGTCACCTCACTCTGTGACGGCAGCCACGGCAGTACCTGGACCCGGACAATTTGCCGCGGATTTGAGGTCGGCGGTCGATCCAAACTTTTCACGACCGCTGATCGAGCACGCAGCTGCTGCCTTCATCGTTGACAGCACTGGTTTACCGATTGCGGTCGGAACTTGATACGCCCCTGGCCCCTACAAAATCCAGTCACGCTGTAATCACAGAAGGACTTGACGGACGGGCGACTGCGACCCGTCGCCAGCATCTCGAGGCCGGCTGCTCGTGCCAAAACAAGTGGTTGGAGCCGTGCGTTTGCGTGAGTCAACTTGATCTCCGCACGCCGACTTGATGTCGTCAAAGCCTGTCGAGAGCCCTGCCGCCTGCAACTTGGACGGGCTCAAGTCCCGACGGGGGCTACGCGACGGACTCAACCCTCCACATTTCGTCGGGCTGTTCGTCATGCGGGATATCTGGAACGTCGCCCAGGACAGCTTTACGTCGGCAAAATGAATTGCAAGCTAAACATAGCACAGCTCTCCAAAGTCGGCTAATTTTAGCGCCACCTTCTCAACTCTCGTAATTCATCAGGTTCAGGCGCCAATTGTTTACAGCCTTCGCCAACCTTGGCTAGCCCCCCATTTGGCTCCATACTATGCGCTGCATGTGCAAAAGGGAGTGGCACGAAGGAGATGCTTCATCTCTTTGGCTGCCAGTCCTGCTCCG